CCAGTGTCCCAGAAGAGTAGGCTCAGCAGGACACCCTAGCCAAGCCAGGGATTTCTACAGGAGCTCCTGGGAAAAGCCGTGATTTTGATCCAGTCATCACCAATCATCCATTCTGATTTCTACAATTCTGAACTATGTGTAGAACAACAAAAACTACAAAAGAATCTTTTGCATGTTTTACAGTACATCATGCCCTGCACCCATTGGTTGCTGGGAGAGGTCCTGGCTCCCTCCCGACCATGTGCTGGAAGGAGCAGTTAGACAAGGGATGGGTGGGTATAACAGCTCAGATTGTACACATTGGTTTGCACACAGTTGCTGTCTAAATGCTGGTAAAAATTATAGCAAATTTGTTACCATGTTCCTGGCTCCAAAGATTGTGATGTCATTTGTATGTCATTTTCTATGTCAATGTTACGTCATCTTTTATGTCAACTGTTAAGTCATTCGTCATTCGAGGAAAACGTGGAAGAAAGTATTTCATCGTACTCATGTATGACAATAAACGTGAACATAAATGATTAGCTGCTTGTTGGAACAAAAACTTGGGATGAATTGTTTTGCTATTTATCAATTGTTGTCTTACTGTTTATCCAGCTCTTTTAAATATAAAACACCTTTTTGTTCGAAAGGCAATATATAAAATAAAAAGTTCTCCGTATTAGTATTAACGGTAATACTGGTGGAGAGCCTGAGAGGAAAACATTGCTCTGCCACTGTAGTGTCACACACGCTCATATTGGAAAATAAAAATATGGCACACACATTGTACATAACTTAGACAGGAGGATTTGACCTTCTTACTCTTTTTATAAATCCATATTAGTCTGCTGCTGAAAAGAGACCTTGGTTATCAGTTATGCTCTGCAATGTCTCACTAAATAAATCTGTATGACTGACAGTATCAGTTTAGTAATTGACAATACGATCTGATAATATTTTTTATAATCTGTTTTCTCAGAAGTTTGTTTTGTACCCAAGCAGCTATTTTTTACACTCAGGAACATAAAAGAGTACAAATAAACATTACATTATACATAAATATAACTATGCAAAACACATCAACCCATACATTGTCCTTATGTACCACTCCTACATGAATCCACACAGATCACAAGAGTTTACTCATCCCACAACCACCCTATAACTGCACAACACCCCTTCGTTTTAGCACATAACCACTAAATGCATGTGCCCATGAGCCAACACTCCTTTACTGTGAACTCATTGATTGAGCAGTTTGAATGTGGAATAAAGAAATTCCTCATTTTGTTATGTCTGCATTGAGGAATTCTAAAATGTCTGCTTGATGGCATCAGCTGGTGTTCTTCCTGTAGAACACGTGAGAGATCAGAGGAGATACGGACAGCTAATCTCAACATACATGTACTCTTAATGTAAATAGTTTGAGAAATAAATCAGTATGATTGAAGGTATCAGTTTGGCAATCTAACTGTTGGGTTAGGCATTTATTCCCATTCTGCCTACATACACAGAGTTCTTTGGTTCCCCATGCAGCAAGCTCCCAAAGTCCATGTTGTCGGGCAGCAGACATCAGGAGGCATGACATTGGACAACAGGCACACAGCATCTGTCCTGAACACATTGCTGCTCCTGCCTATTAGAGTGTGAAATGAATCTAGTAACTTGAGACCCTTTACAGAAAATCCTGACTGAAAAAACTAGCTATGGGTTAAGAGTATGAAATGAAAGAAACTCTCTTATTCTAATAACTTTCTTATCCTTGTTATTGGGAAAAGCTGTACCACAGGTTCTTTGTGATGATGAAGAATTGTTTCACATACTGTATATCCAATAGATGTAATCGTTTTTACTAGTGTCCTCCTTGTAGAAATAAATAACTTGAAATAACCTGAAAAATGTTTTAACCTGGAAAGTGCTACAGAAATGAATGGAGTTTCATAGTGCCTTTGAGTTTCATTTACTGTTGCTTTTTAAACTGATTTAAGATGTATAAAGATATTACACTGAAGTAAAAAAAAAGCAAAAATGCATTACTAACTTTTTAAATCCTGTAATATGAAAACACAGAAACTGTCACCACAGTTAACAAAGAAAAACAAGATTTCAGCTTTCCTAAATCACTTATTCTATAACCATCATAGTTTATATTATAACCATCATAGTTTATCAAATATAAGAATGTTCAGGGAAATGTTATTACTTTAAAAACACTGAATCATTTAGACATACTGCACTTATATAAACTTTAATTTATATTATTACTTATCAATCCATTAAAGGAAATTATATGCTTTGAATTGGGTCTATAAAACATTCCATTTATTTGAAGAAATATCTCTTTGAAAACACAGACACTTTGCAAATCCCAACTTTGTACCATCTAATTAGTCATACAGAGGTGTGAAAATGCTCAATGGATGTGTTTCATAGAATTCCATGTTACAACGTGATGCTGGTCTCAGAATGGAGAGATTTCTATTTCTTCATGTTAATAGAACTACTCCAACAGGCCCAGTGCTGGTACAGCTGGAGCAGGTCAAGCCTTGGCAGCATGGTGGCTCAGTTGTCAGCATTGCTCTCTCACAGCACACGGGCCAGGGCTCCATTCTGGACCTGCGGCATGCCTGGGCAGAGTTTGCATGTTCTCTCCATGTTTGTGTGGGTTTCCTGCAGGTGCTCTGGTTTCCTCCCACAGTCCAAAGACGTGCCTGGATGTTAATTGGATTGTAGGAAAATTGGCCCTAGGTGTGAGTGTGTGTCGCTAGAAAATAGATGGATAGATAAAATTCACATTTTGTGGATCCAGTGTTTTCAAATTATGCAAATTAGAGAACTTTCCTAATCTTTAGATCTTCGAGCAGCTGATAGACTCCTGAAGACCCGAAAAGTGAAACGACTGTAGTGACTATGGGTATTACAGCAAAGCATAACTTCAAAGCAAGGTTGGTCTAAATTTCGGGATTGGATGGTGTACATACAGTCTGAAAAACCCTTCTAATGTTATATGTTTTAAAAGTCTAATAAATGTAAAGTAGTTTATGTGAGAGTCTGAAAAAAGCTCCTCAATTATGTTGTAAAAACCAATACCCTGACTTCCTTTAAGGAATAGCTGATCAATAAACTACTAACTACCAAACATCTAGATGGACTGTATGGCTTCTTCTCAAATGTGACCTTTCTTATGTTCTTATGTAAAGCCTCTGATTTGCAAGGCACTTTTGACTAGTGTCTTTTCACCTGAGGCAAAAAAATAACATTGCTCCATTTTCCCTACTGAGTTGCATTGACTGTAAATCCACATCCCTGCTCAAACACGGCCATTACAATGATGTACAGTGATTATGGTAAATCTATGTAGATTGATTTAGAAATTGTGCTTATTTTATGCTAATTATGGACACTTGAGCACCCTGTTTTGATTGTCTTTGTTATGCAGATCATTGTGGTGATGATGGCTGTGTGTTATGATAATTGCCAGCACTTAAGCACTTTTCTTTGATGTACTGTTAAGGCTGTCTTTCGACATATGTACCGACCACATCTTCACTGTTTTCCCAACATTCTTTGGTCGTAGTTACCAAAACCTGGCAGCTACATGATCTTTAACAGCCTGGTTGTCAAAAGTCCGTGAACATTGTGGATTCAGTGTTGCTAATAGTTTATGGAAAGATGAAATTCTGTAAACATGAGGTGTACACAGAACAAACAAACAAACATTGGGATGGTTCATCGGATAGGGTTCTGCGAAAAGGAAGGGATTTGGGGAGAGAAGAATGTTTGGTGCTTCATGCACATACGGATTTTAGACAGATGCTGTTTAATATGATGTTTTCAAAGAACATTTCTGACTCCAAGGAACGATTGCAACCCCTGAAGTCAAGGTCTTCATTGGTTCTTTAAAGTGTAATAAAAAGTGCTAAGGACATTCAAAAAGATGAAGACAAGGCTCAAGCCTGATCAAACACCTGGCAGATTAAATGTAATGTAGTGTTATATATATTCAAATATATTGAGCAGAAATATAGACAGTAAATATAAGGTGGGGGTTAAGAAACTAAAGAAGCTATGCAAGAAAAAAATGTGTTTATACTGACATCAATTTCATCTTGTGTTGGCAATGTGGAGAAGTAATAAAAATACAGTTAAGATATAAAGTTAAATGTATAGAATTTAAATAAAAGGTTGTCATGTAAAATTGAAAATATTATGAAACACTTATTGGAAATGGTGAGTAGAAACTGGGGAAGTGTACTTAGAACTGAGAACACGAGCTCCCTTTTTATACTACATGTTCTGTGAGCAGGGAATAAATCACCAGACTTGTGTTTGAAACTGATACCCTGACTTGTGTAAAGAAATAGTGGGAAGAGTTCAGCTGATGGATCAATTAGTGAATAGCAGCCAAATGAAGCAGAGAGGATGGGGAAATTGCCTCCTCTGTCTGTAATCTTTCTTGTGTTGCTTTTCATAATAATAATAATAATAATAATAATAATAATAATAATAATAATAATAATAATATCATCATCATAATAAATTATTTAATAAGAATAAATGATTTTCTTAACTCATCTTCGTAACCATAGTTTTGTCAAATTCTTCATCGCAACCCTGATTATCTACTTTAATACCTTAGGACCATAATTTTACTTACACCTGACAATGTGAGATTACATTAATTCATAATTGCAATGTTCCTGAAGTGCTTCGCCATAGGAGGGGACCCACTCCATCCACCATCAAAGAGCAACACCTACCTGAGTGACATACAGCGGCCTTTAGAACACATGAACTGTATGAGTGTACCAGCAGCCACAATACCCTAACTATGCTACACTGCACTACCAGTACTACACAACACTGCCAATACTATACTGCATTAACAGCTCTACACTATGTAGACAGCACTACACTACACACACTGTACAGTTATTTGTGAGACCTCTGTCAAAATACAAATTTGGTTATAATTAATCTTAATAATAAGTATACAAATTTTAATTATCATAGGCTAACTCGGATCATAGTGTAGTGTACCAAAGGAAGCTGAGACATGCTTAATCTGCAGGAATGTTGCCATTACTATTGTCAATATAGTGACAATCCTATTTTCATGTCTGTTCTGATAGTTCAGCGTTTATAGATGTAAAAAAAAAGACCTATAATCCAGCATGTTTTACAAGCACATGCTATCTCTCTAAGTAAACCTACAGGCCAATCTCACAAACTCTTCTTAAGCGTTTTCTTAAACTTTTTTTTCAGTCTTACGAACATGTCCTCTGACCAACATGTTAAACTACTGATGAGTTCAGGACGTTTTGTACTGCAGGACAGTTACCAAGATCGCCTTACAAGAAACACTCAAGATATTATCAGTCAGACAGGATGAGGCTCATTTGCACAGGTGCATCATTAAATTACTGTACTTCGGGAGGACACCCAAACTCGAGGCAGCAGGAAAGAAATTGACATGCACTGATGGACTTGATGGGTTGAGACTCACCTACTGTAATGTACCTACGAGCACATGTTCATTAATGCAAAGCGAGACGGTTCAATGCCCCTGTCAAAGTGTTCACCTGTTAGCGCACTTGACTAAAACTTTTTATGCCTTTCAGTGATATTAGGGTGGTAATCCTGGTTTTCTCCTCCATAGTGCTGAGGATATCACAGAAGGGATGACAGGGATTAGGATAAGGCAGTGAGGGGAGCCACTTTGTTGCACGTAGACGGCCTAGGTACTCACAAAATCATGATCGAGTTGCCCAGGCAGGAGGCGCGGTGTCGGGTAACAAAACAAAACAAAACAGGTGCGTGCATGCAGTAGAAATACAAGGACAGGAGGGGGAAAAAATCATTATTTTTTTTCTTCTCAAGACCAATACTCCCGTGCGTTCATAACGGGTCTCTTTCCCGATGCTGCGTTTTGTATTTTTTCTTCTCTAAAGCCAAACTCCTCGGCCGTCGCAGCCCGGCGAGCCATGAGCGCCCGGCGAGCGGGCAGCGGGCGGGCGGGCAGCGGCGAGCGGGCCGCTGTTTGGTCGGCGGCGGTGTCAATCACGGCGCGGCGCCGGGGACCTTCCTGCCTGAGCCGGGGGGCTGCGCGCTGCGCGGAGTTGCTCCACAGCTCCGACAGAGGCAGAGCCGAGTCGTGCAGGTTCCCCCAGCACAATGGTCTTCGGATCCTGAGAGCGCTCCCGTTCAGCTGCTGCAAAGGAGGAGGAAAAAAAACCCAGAGAGAGACCGAGAGAGAATTGTGCTGTACCTACCCTGCAAGAGAGACGCCAGAGAGACGGCGAGAGCGACCGGAGGAGGCACCGGGGCTGGGGGAGCCAATTATTGCTGGATCTGCAGATAAAGGGGGATTGTTAAACAAAAAACAAAAACAAAACAACACCAACGAAATATAAGCTCCGAGTTATTCTCCGAATAACCGCAATTAAACACACCATCATCATAAAAAAGCCTCGCTTACAGACCGCAAAATGTCTGGTAAGGACAGCACCGGTGCTCAACATGCCCAATACGTGGGACCGTACCGCTTGGAAAAGACGCTGGGAAAAGGACAGACAGGTTGGTTTTGCCGGCTGGGTTTGGTTTTTCTGTGACATTGTTGAATACGGCTTGCCTTGCGGGATGAAATTCGCTGGTCGGGCTGCAAGATGTATAAATCCGTACAGGTTTTCGGGGGGTAATTTCAGTCATTTTCGCCATGAATTTTGCAGTTCTTCAACCCCTCTGTCTTTATATGAGCGTGATTATACGGGTGCTGTGAATGGGACGAGTGATTCGCATAATATCTTGCATTTTATTTCCTTGAGTTGTGGAGGTGGGTGCCGGTTGTCAAAGGAGGGTGGATTTTGCAGAAGAAAATTAGGTCTTTTTTAAAAAAAAAACTTGTCCCTTTAATTTTTATGCTGCTTTGTTGTACACGGTGAAGATGGTGATTTATATAGCTACAGTGCCGTTAATCTGGAATGAACAATTACCTTGATCTATTTTTAGTGCAAAATGTGTTTCTTGCTTTTCTTTGCTTTTTGTCATTCAATGTGTCAGCATAATAGACAGTATAATGAGCGATTTGCTTTAGGGTCGTGCTGCCTTCTTAGGATCTGAGCGTTTGGTTAAAAAAAGTACCGGCAGCTGGCTTACGTGTTGCCATAACGTGATGTCGTGATAGCAGGTGCTGCAGTTAGTTTTACAGTCAGCAAGCACCGTTAATATTTTTCGAGAAAGAGGACAGGTGGGCAGCTAACCGCTTCCAAGCAGAAAACATGAAAGAAATAAAAACTAAGGGAAAAAATGAGGATATGCGTTCAGGACGAGACACGACGGAGGTCAAAAGTAGGCTTTTAAAAAAAGAAAAGAGTGCCTTTTTGTTTCTAGGTTTGCCATTTTCGTCCCGTCCCTGGAAGGCAGACGCCAGACACCTGGAGCAGGGTTTGAGCAAGCTGTGTTGTTATATTTGCCCCGGGAATGACAGAAACGACAATGCGGGGGGTGGCGATGTTTGGGGTAGGAGCGGGCGTAAAGAGCGAACTCTTAACGGGGAGAGACGGGGCTGGGTGTGGGGGAAATAAGTCATGCGATAATCATTGCTGTGCCCCCCCAAATAAATAAATAAACGGGGAGTCCGCATCCAAGAGTGCGGTTGTATGCCCATCTGCTGTCTGAAACGTCTACAATAGGCGTTCCCTGCTCGCAGCTGCCTCCGAGCTCGCTTGCTGTGCGTGTGGATGCGGATCTGCAGTCCGCAGCTTCATTCAGGGACCGCGGAGCGCCAGCAGGACCATCGCCCCTTCCTGAAGCCCGACCCCTCTAAGCTTATTAAATAGCGCGGCCGGACAGTCGCCTAGCAGGACTGCCTTGATCCACGGCCCGGCCCGACTTTTAGTTGTGCGGTAATTATTGCTGTAGTTTCACAACGCGTGGGGGTATCGATATGACAGCGTGTAAAGAGCGGCTCGGGTTCTCGCACACGGGCTGCTGGTTATGGCACCGGCGTTTCGGATATAAATCACGGATGTTGAGTCTCGGTAGATGGTGGAGCTATGCAGTCACTCCTCTCCAAAAAAAAATCAAATGTAGATTCCCCCCTTCCTATACCATTTCATCCCCTTTTTAGTGACTGGGATAACTCGTATTAAGGCGCTTGACAAAAAAAAAAGTTTTCGTGTTAGTGAATAACCGCAAATACTGTATCTAGTTTTTTTTCCAGTGATGGATATTTAATGAGAAATTGACTTCAGATTTGTTTGGCCTCCTCGGCCTGCTGGTTCGAGGCCGATGCCATCATCTGTTTCACTTCTTCTGAGCTATACCTGGCATTGATCACAGGCACCTTCGCAACGCAGCCTGAAGGGTCGGCTCTGTATCTTTCTCCATCTGAGAGTAGGTACTGTGCATGCCTGTTCGCTGCGTCCTGCCTGTCTCGGAGACCACTCGCCTTTCCTTACACTGATGTTTGTGTGTATTTGCTCATCACCTGCTATTTAATCATCAATACTTCACAGGGGCTTGTTCAAATATTTGTCCCGGTAGGCCCTGCCGGTGTTTGGTCGCGATCTCCGCTCTTGTTTTCTGATTGGTACCTCTGTCAGCTGGTGCCAGAATCCTTATTGTAGCGCCTGAAGAGAGAGGCTCAGAGGATAAGGGGAAAAGAGCTCCACTAGTTAAAATGTTAAAGGCATCGTAAAGGGAAGGCTGCTGGTGATTACGCTGTGTGCTGTGTGGTTTTAGAGACCCATCGGTACTGATAACTTACTTTACGGTGTTGAAACCGCAGCCTGTTATTTATAGGAGGCGAGAGGCCGGGACTGATCGTGCTGCACGGTGCTTCTTTCATTACTGCGATTAAACAAACACACAGGCGCTAATCCTGCACTGTCTGCCCCCCCGAACGAGCACGCAGGGACACGTGGGCTACGAATAGCAGGGGATTCAGGATAAATACTTTCCCCGTGCTCCCCATGTTGGGGGCGGTGAGTGATTGTTCAAATAGTGTTTTGTTTAGTTTTGAGCCCCAAGTTCTCCTGGCTCCAAGCGCCTGCCATCAGATTCGATGTGCTCAGTTTTCCTGAGGCAGGCGCGGCGGTCCTGCGGTTCCAGCAGGGACGGTGTGCAGGGGATGAGCCGCACAGGTACTGTACTTGGTCCAGCCATTGCGGGGCACGGCGAATTGGCCTGACGTGTCCCTTGATATACAGTGGCCCTGGCCAACAACTATAAACAGCGGTCGTCTTTGCAATTAAGTCAGCAAAACAGAGCCGAAGTGGTCTGTTTTCTACGGGTGTTTTGCTGGTGTCTTGTAGTTTTTGTGGTTCCAGCTCACCGTGTTAGCTCAGCAGTGGTTATCCTGAAGGATCCCGTCTCATGTCAGAACAGCCAGTGTGATGTCCCTCTCGCATGAGTTCCCTTTTATAAAGGAACATTGACTTGAATGCAATGTTGCTTTGACTCTTTCATCGAATTTACAGGGTCGTTGTCACTGTGGTAAAAGTTTGATACTGTTTTACAGTAAGAACTGGCTAGGGAGCCCCAAATGTAGTAGCAAAGTATGTCCTCATTTGGGGCTTTTCTTTCTGGATTTGTACAGATTGTTCTTTTTGTTGTCTGATAGACTGCAGGTTAGTATAGGGAATTAACTTTTCTATTTGTGACATTGCCTGTCCTAAAAAGTCAGTGCTTAAGAAGCATTAAAGTCTTATTGACAGCATGCTTGGGTGTCTTGTTGTCTGCAGTCGTTTTACACTGTTTGCACACACTTGACTTTCCCTCTGCGCTGTGCAATATTTTGAAAAGGAATTTATGGCAAAAAAGGCCTGGGAGGCACAGAGAAAGGCAATCCATTCTAAAGGTTAATGCTGAGCCATTTCATGGTGGTGAGAACTGATACTATCTATTACATTTGCTGCTTCCTGGTAGCCAGGGACAGGCACTTCAGTGTGGGATTCAGCAGTAACTGGGGTTTCTGGATGAGTGGCACAGATGGAGCCTTTGAGCTCGTGAAATGGAACATCTTTCTGTTAAACTGTCAGATTGATTAATAATTACAAACAGAGCATTTATATTCATTACCTGTTCGATACCATTTATTAATAAAACAGGAGAGGAGAACTTTGGCTTTGTTGCTGTATAGTTTTCCGGTGTAATGTTCTCTTTGCCAGGTTTTCTTGGATGTTATAGTTTATTATAAAAGCCTGCAGGGGGTCATTTGATACACGGAGCTTTTATTGGCTGTGTGGCAGCGAATGAGGGTGATACATCTTCATTGGTGTGTCTTCACTGAGTTCTTTTTAAACGAAAATCAAACAATCTGGTACACAGTTTAATGCATACAGTAAATGTTTTTTCACTGGGTTGCACATTCCATCTTGTTTAAGCTGAATGCTGTTTATGTACTGTATTAAGCTGTTATGTGTTGTTTTTTTTATCATCAGATATAAATTCAGTGACAAGGGGGGAGATGTGGCTGTCTGTGCAGTCAGTGTGTTGCTGTGGCTGGGTGATGAAGACTCATTGATAGGGGAAGATACAATACCTGTGCTTCACCTCTCTCTTGTAGTGTTAATTGATTGAAGAGGAGTTTGGTTCATAATCACAGGTACTCATGTCTGACTGATGGTCAGGTTGGATCAATACAAGCCCCAAAGATTTTCTTGCCCCAAAGAAATCTATGGTATTTCCTAGGAATTGTATTCCTGCTTACGGTAACTGTGTGGAAAGGTCCCAGTCAGTGCTGTCAGTAGCAACAGCCCAGTGAGTCTGGCTACATGAGGTTTTACAACTCCCTGCTCTTATCCTAAAAAAGGGAGACTGAGTCAGATTTCCTCAATGGTTTGCCAGGAGTGAAGTGTGTTTTCTAAAGCGGCTTTAAACTTGCTAACATCGCAATATCAAACTTAGTAGTTTATACAGGTATTAAAATATACAGTATGCATATCATTTAATGAATAGACTTAATAGTACAACCTGTTTGCCCAGTTTGGAACACTTTTATGTGTTCCACTTTGAGTTTTATGACAGGTCCTGTCTTTATTCAGTTCCTTCAAGCCCAACTCAAATTTGGGCCCGTCTCTGTTCTCTGTATGTGAATACATAAAGGGCTCACATTCACCCTTTCTCTGGATTTGGGATCTGAGAAGAAGAGTCAGTCTGATAAAACCATGCCTGTAAAAACAAGTGCTAAATGCTCTTTAGAAGGTGCACTTGAATCTGACTAATAATTTTATTCTGTCATTGCTGCTGAGCTCACCTGGGTGCTATCGAGGGAGATTTCTTTGTTTCAAGAAATAAGTGATTTATTCTTTTGCATGTTCAAGCATGGTGTAGCATATATCATTGTACATATAACTTTATCGCAACATTTATAAAGCAGTTATCTTTATTTTTTCTTATCATCGTAGTCTCCTTACTGTCTCTGTTGCTGATTGATTATATATACATAAAATAAAAGTTGGTGCATTTTTACTCACGCTCATAATAGTAGTAATATTAACATGTTAAAAAGCACTCTCTTTATACCTGCAGTAAATGCAATTGTACTTGTGTATCAGATGGTTGTGATGATCACC